ACAATGAGTGCACATTTGGGCGTGGGCCTCTCTCTAACCAGCGGATGTGGTTTCCTTATACCATGCCCCCTAAACAGCCTAAACCTCCACAACAACCACTGCAGAACAATCAGTTGAAATAAGCAGGTGTAAATGAAAGTAAAGAGATTAAACAAGGTGAAGAGCATGATTTCAATCAAATCAAATCAATTTCAATGTCACTCAGTGTCCACTTATCATGCTGTACTAGGTGGGACCTCACAGGCGAGGCAGCATCCAGGGCCTTGGCTTCTGACTGAAGGTGTGTTTGATTTGGCTCTTACGGAGCCGCAGCAGCACCTGGGCAGGAAGGCCAGACACAACACTTCATTATGAACCTCCAGCAAAGCCACCTGGAGCTGGATGGACATCTAACAGGGGACTTAATGAGCAGGAATCACTATGGGACTTTGTGCGTAGGTGTATTTGAAATTTCTTCAAAGGGTTCCTACATTTTAATTAATAAACCAGTCATAATCTTTTAGAATTAAATGTTAATACATCTTACTTAAAATGGTTCTACTACTGTCCAGAAAGGATGCACTGACAGGTTGTGACACACTAAAGGCCCCTAGTAATAACAAATCTCACTGGCTGTAGTTGTAGGTAATTACCTGCAGAGTGAGCGCAGATGTGAGCTGCTAAACGTGTGGAATGTAAAGTAGATTTATTTCCTGTGAAACAGAGTGCCATTTACGAGGGTAACCTGTACAAATATCCCAGTCATTTTTACTGCCGCATGTCATCAAAGCCAAGGGAAATGCTCTACTTCATTTTTCTCTGATAATTTTACCTGACTCTCACACATCAGTTATTAGTTCAATATACTGATATATTGTGATATTTATAGGAAACGTAGGTGGAGGAAATATTACATTTCTCATTTCACAAATAGTTATTCTTCCATAAAACCTTGGTGGTCTGTCCCATCAACACTCTGAGAATGAGAGCTGAGTCAGCCTCATAGATGGTGAAATCAAGCTTGGTGAGACCCACTGAGCCCTGACGTTGAGTTTGGAATACACACTGCTTTCCTTTCCTGGTTTTGCTTCATGAATGGGACTCTTTCAGCCATTTGCTCCTGCTGACCCTCTCCTTACCCAGTACTCTCCTCTATAGTGTGACCCAAGGTCTCACCACCAGCTCTCTCAGATCCCCTGCCTGGCAGTCTGGCAGCCCAGACACCTTTCGTTTTCGGTTCCCAAACCAACTAGCTGGAGAAAGTCACGCTTTTATCCAAAAACACCTGATTGACAGGAGCTTTCTGGAGACTTTTGAAATGTTTCTGATTTGTCAATTTGACTGGAAAGCTTGTGGATCGTGTGGCTCTGTGGTTGAAGGATGTTTTTCCAACATGAAGAGATTAAAGAAGAAAGCTGAGTCAAGAAGCCGAGAGCCATAACAGCCGAAATGGCAGCCAGAATGGACAAGAAGAGGTGGTTTATTTTAAGACTTGTGTCAGTGTCATTTCCTTTAATATGAGCCAGTGGTCTATTTTGGCCTCCTTCTTTTGTTTCTCACCTTTTAGTGTGTGCATACAGTCATCACTTCCTATATATGTGGGCTGGCTTTGCTGGCTATCTATGATTGAAAAGCTCCAGATGATGTTGCAATTTAAACCAAGTACATTTACTTAAGTACTATTGTTGAGGAACCTGTACTCAGAGAGCAATATTGTGATTTTTTTTTACCCCTCTACATTTATCTAACTGTTAATTAGTTACTTTGCAGTTACTTTGCAGATTGAAATCTTTAAAATCAAAAGTAGATATTAAAGTTACAACAGAATGAAATGATAATGATTGGGGTTGACATTTTTATTTAAACTTGCTCTTTTGCCATGCCATCAGATCAGTTATTTGACTCAACTGTCTAAGCTTTTATTGGAGCCAGCCTGGCGGTTCTCAATGATGTAGAACCACCAGAAACCAAACAAGCGTCAGCAGAAAGTCTTGAAGAAACAACCTTGAGGCAGCTGCTTCAGGAAATCTTCAAGACAGATCAGATCACTAATATGGTCTCTTCCAGTAAAGTCACGTTGCTCTGAGGAAAAATGTCCTATAAGAGTGGGTTAATCCAAATCATACAGGCCTTGACTGAATTAAGGGAGTGGCTCAACTGTTCACAGATATTTCCTTCCTGGGACAGGTCATGCAACTGAACTGTTATTGAGCTGAAATTAACCAAAATTGGAAAGTTACAGAAAAGAAAGAGATGGAAAGAGAATGGGTCTTTAACAGTTGCGTTGTTCAGCTTATAAAAGTTATATAATATATAAATATATGTGCAATGTCCCACTTTAGAAGCAGAGTAGACTATGGATTACAGACTAGAAACAGCAAAGGACTCCAGAAAGACTTTTCTGCACAGTATTTTTCAGCCCAGTCGCACGCCAAAGGGTATTTGGAGTTCTGAGGTAAAAGATGTAAGTACTTCTTCAATCACTGCATGGGCCGGTTTAAATGATCACATACACAAAACTTGGCAGGAATAGTGGGACTTATGTGACACTAGAAGACATCTTTACAATATACAAAAAAATGTGTAGGCATTGGTGTATTACAGAGCAGGAGGCCAAAAAAAGAGATCATCACCCGTCTGAGAACAGGACACATTAAATCATACACCCATGTGGATATCCACTCATTGTAATAAACCGGAAAATGTCAAACATGTATTAATAGACTGCAGCTAAAATGGTCAAGAACGTAGGGATTAGATTGGAGAATCTACTTGGAAAGAAATCAAGAAAAGTCGTTTGATTTATTTTTTCTACATCTCCACACTCCAGTCCAGTAGATGGCGGTAATGCACCTACAAACCAGTTTACCAATCTTCATTAAAAAGAAGAAGGAAGCAGCAGAAGTAGTTTCGCACAAGTACTACATCTCCCATGGTGCATTGCAGCGGTAAACGGAACGACATCCTGAGTTGAAAGTTCAACCTGCTCACATGCGTGTTTTAGAGGAGTAGCCGTGACTCTCTGTGCAGTATGTGTCCAGTTTTAATATGAAATTACTTTTAGTCGTTACTGTTGCGTGTTTATCCGTCGGCTTCTTCGTGGGGCGAGTATGTCCGTGAACGCATCAAAGCACGAGCTGATCCAGCTGATCTACCGCCATTTGAAGGAGCATGGTTTCCACTCAGCTGCAGATGAGCTACAGAGGCACAACCCACAGGTCAACACTGTACACACACACACACA